AATTACTTCGCGGATTACCAAATTACTTTGACAGTTTATAGACCAGAAGGTACTCTTTCGCTTATTTTTAGTATCGATTCGTCTCCGTGGCTGCCAACCCATTTTTGTACCTGCAAAACGTTACGCCACTATGTGGAACATATTGTGTAACATACTGTGTCGATCATATAATCGAGTAAAGCCCGCTATGTTAATTATTTATCGTAAATATAAATAATGTTGATATGATACTTTCTCAAACTTTTAAAACTTAACTCTATCAAATTTCATTTACAATACTTTTAATGATTACAAATATGTTATCAATTATCATTATGTCATCATCTTCACGTATATCTTAATTACTGTACTCATTGCTAAAGCCACTTTGAATCAAGATAAATCAAAATCTACGTGTCCACAATCCCTGATTCCCAACGATTATAATGCGCTACCCAAATTAGATTGAAGACTTTTCACATGCATCATGTAACATTTTCAAATCATGTGGAAAATTGTGGTGAATTAACAACATGTTTTATGTATAATCTGAATGAAACCAATTTAATCTTGTATATAAGAATAACCCTTTAAATAAATTACTTTTTCCAAACAAATAGCCTCTTTTTATGTCTATTCTTTATTATCAAACCGATTGCCTAGTTTCTTGAATATTAAATGTAAAATATGAATCTATGTCAGTAAGAAATTACGTGATTCAAATATTGTTGAATGTTAACAACACATGCTTGTAATAAACTGAACATTCATTTTAAGAATCTGGGAAAATCAGTTTATTGCGCTTTGCAAAAAAAGATGGGACCTTTGCAGTTCACAAAGTCGTGTGAAATCTGAGATACTGTAGATTTTAAGAATCTGAACAATTTCAAATAAATATAAAAATAACTGATCGAAAATATTAATTAATGGATTATTTAGAATCTCGGAAATTTTCCTCGTTCATCATCACCAAAATCATGGGGTCACATCTTTTTGCAAAACGCTATAAACAAAAGAATCATTGATATTGAAAATCGAAGTGAAAAGAGAATATTGAATGGTAAAAACTATATTAATAACTATAACGGGTTGTATAAGAGAATGGAATGTAGTACGTTAAACCGAAATAATTTAACTAAGGTAAAATATTTATATTAATTCTTTTTTTTTTTAAATATATTTCATAATACAAAAATAATTAACTCTTACGTATCGGCTTATTTAATATTTGTAAACTATTAGACGAAATTTTGCTTTTAAGCTCGGAATTGCACTGAAAAAAATACAAACTAGCACTTAGGGCAATGACAGATATTACCTAATATCGATTTGCTATAAGCGCCTACCCTCACACCTCAGGTAAGATAAGAAAAACGACCAATAAAAATCAAATCCCAAATAAGCAATCTGATTGGCTAACAATATGCCGGTCATATAATAAAAAGCCTAGTCCGAATTGACTTCCGAGCCTTTATAAAAATTTGGTCTAAAATCAAGCCTGAAATTTGACTCAAATCTACCAATCAACAATCAATATGTGATCGGTCCCTTAAGGTCAAATGATAAGTTAGCTCAAAAGATCAACTCAACATGTTCAATTAACATTGATGACGAAGTTGATTCTAACAGATGCGTGATAGTTGAACTTATATAGCAAATAGCTTTCACTTTGTTCTAAAACAAGAAATTTTCTGTACATATGCCCTTGAATTGAGTTTTAAAAAAAAAATCGCATGATTCTAAATCAGAATTGATTTTGTGTACTGCATTTTTTTTTCTTAAAAAAAATTTTTAAGAAAAAATTTTTTTTTTTTGTACAATTAATATTAAAATGAGCGAACAACTTAATATTAGTTTCTACTATGAAAAGAGAATAGAACAAAATAAAGGTGGCAATTCTAATGGACAAAATAATGACTTCCACAACCAGCAAAGCATAGACACTAATAAAGATGAAAAAAAGTCATTTTACCAAACTTTTTTTTTAACTCTAAAATACAATAAAAATCTGATTTATAGTTCAGCAAATAAATATCTGGAGTTTTCAAATGTCTATATATATAGCATCATGGTAAAGACAGGAAATGATACCCCTAATCATGCTCATATTTGCCGCGAGGCAACACAAGAATGGAACAAAATTAAAGCTAAAAGTGCAGAAGAAATCAACGATATAATTAAGAAACATTTAACTATACCATTCAATCTATATAATATACAAACAATGAAATCAAGATATTTTGTGCCTGAAGAAAGCTCAACATCTTTTCTTTCTACTATCAACTCAGTAGAACCTATATCTGAAATCCCAATAAATGCAGCAGCACAAAAAAGTGTGACAAATAAAATTGAAATAGCTGAAAAAAAAACTCTTAGAACTTAAGCAAATGTATAACATTACAACAGAACCTCAATTTCGATGTGAAATATATACAAAAATAGAAGAGCTTTAAACACAAGTAAAAGCTAATAAAGATAGAATTTTCAAATTAAAAAGAAACACAAAGTATGCTCAAAACTGTAAAGAAAAAAAACAAAAATACTTATTGAAAATCAGGAAGTAATCAAATATGATTGGTTAGGTCATCCATCACTTCTTTTTAAACATTCACACCTGTATAACTATATTTATAAATCAGTTGAAAATAGATCAGCTAATGAAAAATGGCGAAAAGAAATAGTTAAAGTGAGAATAATAGAAAACTAATGTAAAAATCTTGAAGAAAATTATGGTATCTATATAGTATGAACAACATTAAATAATTACTTATTATCTTGCCAGTTCAGTTCCATTGCCATGAAGGCACACCATGAATCTCTGTTGCTAGTGTTTTACACACTGAAACACATGAACATCCTGAACACACTATTGTTTTGCATCTATCAAATATGCAAAATAATTTGCATCTTTTTTTGCTGATATGTCAATAATTATCTCCCAGAATAATAAAGCAAAAATAGGTTTTGGTGTGCCTGCTGTAAGTTAAACATTTCACAGATTGCAATCAATCAATGATCCAATTTGTGTACCAGATTATGATTTCTGTATAGGATTTGAACAAAAATTAATTCCAATGGTATACCTCATATTAACTCAAATGAATCAAATAATGAACTACAGACAGGACAACTTGCTATTTTTGTACACTGCCAATGGTCTCTTGGTACATCCTTGCTTACACATATTCAAGATCTTGAAAGTCTCACTTTAGATCCCCAATATAACATTGCATTAAAAACTGACAGAGAGATTTGACCAATTTGGGTTATTAGTGGATGGGGAACTGGATGAGAACCTGAGACACTTAAAGAACATTAAGTCATATTATTTGCTTTTTCAAAAGATCAACTGGCTGTAAGGACAAATGCCCCAGGACAATCTAAATATAACCTTGTAGAAAGAGGAATGATGACACTTTCTGGTAAATTAGCAGGTGTTGTGTTACTAATTGATCACTTTGGAATGCATTTAAACTCTCAGGGCAAAGTAATTAACCCATAGTTGGCTCTTAAAAATTTTAAGTATGCTAGAGAAGCTCTCTGTGATATTTGGCATTGTGATTTAATTTTGGAAAGCATGTAAATACACAATATGTTGAAGAATTTACAAACTCCTTTGAAAATTTGCAGTTTGAGGGCACTGACAAGGAAAAAATAGAAGAACTTGAGTGACAAAGCAAAGAAAATCAAAAAAAAAAACAAAAAAGATGACTTAACCGAGTGCTCTATACCGTGGTCATGGATTGAAAGTCATTGTAACTTATGCCAATACTCTCTTGACATAAAATGCTGTGCAAATACAAGTTGTTGTGAACCACCTCATGCAAAAGAAGCCATGGATTTTCTTCAGCTAAATAATGGTTTTTTACCTCTGGTTACCAAAGCTAAAGATGGACATTTCATTAAACCTATACACCTCCTTGAATACTATGATCGCCTAAAAATTCCTAACTATGATTCATACTGTTCATCCCTTGATGAAACAACCTATTCACGCCTTAATTGTTCCAAGTGTAATAAATATTTTTCAACACTTACATTTTTGATGTATCACAAATGGTTAATGCATCCTGCTAGCCGTGGACGACCTGAAGGAAAATCTAAAAACCAAACTGAGCAAATCTCATTAACCCTTGATAATTTCTCTCTTCTTCCGTCACAGCAATATGATCAAATATTTTTATCTGATGAAGTATATCTAAGAGGATGGACTTCAGATAATGAATAGCTAAAGACAAATATGAATAGTTGGGTTAGAAAATCTGCAATTCAATAAATTATTAGACAAGAATAGAACAGTTTAAATAAAGTATCATCGATTCTATAGCAAATATATTGTAGTGTAAACTCTAAAAAAAAAAAAAAAATTAATATCTTAATAGAAAAAGAGTACTATAATCCTGACACTAACCATTATATGTACGCATGTATGCATGTACATTTACCAAACACAAGATCTACTATAAAATACCAGAAACTCTGGTTAAGATAATTAAGACAATTCTGAATAAATTTTTTGACATACTGTAATTTACTATCGTGAACCGATACTACTGAAAAACCTGAATATGCTGTGTCACAATTTGTGGCGCAAACAAATTTTTTAAAGTTCATTGACGTTAGAGTTAGCATTTAGACCAAAGTTAGAGATTAAGTTTCTATGTAGTACAATCTCTCAAGAAAAAACATTTTGTTAGGACACTAAAGTTATGCGGGTTAAGTAATAAGCAATTTTGACAAAACGACTTAAAATTTTTTGATCGTATTACGTTACATCTTGAAATTAATTGTGTCGCATCTAGCACATACAAGATTCTGTATTTTTATTGGTTCCAGATCCTCAGACATGACCTTATTATGATTGGCTAGTATGTTATATGCGTAACCTAAGATTTCACGTTACCCCCACCCCAATAATATATGTCATGGCCCTTATCACAATCAATAATAACCATTTTTAAAAATCTAGACGAGACAATAAAATAAATAAAGTAGATATGTTTCGTAATAGAAGGAAATTACTCTGGTATTTTAGGATTGTGAGAACGCGAGCTCGTGTATTAAATTGCGCTCCTGCTAAGTCATATAACTCATGGAAAGTAGAAATCTCGTACAGTTAACCTTCATATATTCATCCTCTAATTACATAATACGTTATTAGAAATAATTTATATATACACAAAACTCTTTATAAACATTTTTTAAAAAATTTATGTAATTATATGTGAGAATGATCGTATTAACATTCGAAAAAATCAATAAGAACATTTAATAAAGTAATTAAATGCATAAATAAAAACAAACACATACTTTATATATAATTTAATTTAAATTTAATTTGAGAAATTGCTAGTTATTACTAATGTACTAACAGGTTGACTACCATATTCTGAAATTTTTTTCGTATCATATATCTTACTTGTATACAAATCTTGTGAATGAATTTGTTTAATTGATTCTGGTTTAGTATTATTAGCTTCCAAAAATTGTTTCTTGATTTCATTATTATCATATTGATCCATGTCATCTAACCAACGAGTGGTCATTTCAATAATTTCTTTTGCAATAGGTCGTTTATCATGATCTTTATCCATACATCTCATAGCTAATTTAATATAACAATCAGGCCCTAAACATTTAGGTCTTGATCCACAGATTATTCTTAATCCAAGATAATCATCAAATGGAATTCCATCAAATGCTCTTTGTCCGGTCGAAATTTCTGTCATAATAACTCCAAGACTGTAAATATCTGACGCTTGAGTATACAGTTGATCCGTCAAAATCTCGGGTGCTATATATGGCAGAACTCCACAAATTTTTCCTTCCTTTTCTTTTCTTGAAAGTCCAAGATCTGTAATATATGCACTATGCAGAGCAAAAAATTGTAAAATATTTCCACTGTGTAAATCTCTGTGAACGAGTTCCTGCGAATGAATTGACTCGAGATCCAATGCTATACAGTGCAAGAGATTTAATTTATCATTCCATTCCAGCTGTGATACTTGTACAAGATTTTGTCGCAACGAACCTGTTGGCGCATAATCCAAAACAATAATATAATCACCATAATTATTTCTTGATACTCCAAAGCATCCCAAAAATGAAGGATTCTTGTAACCAATTTCACAGTAATTTTTTAATTCCTGTATAAATTCTTTTTCATTTTCGTTTGAATTATGGACCACCTTAAGTGCAACATTATTCCAAATGCTATTAACTCCATTGAACCAACGTGCGTAATATACAGTTGCAAATCCTCCTTTTCCCTTTTCAATGATATTTCTAAATTCATTATAATCAATCCAAGATAATTTAAATCTCTCATTATCTAATATTCTCTTAAGTTCAGGATTAATATGATCGGGTGATTTATTAGTTTTTAAAAGACTCATATATTTTACAAACCAATAATTTGCGCTCTGAATATCTTTCTTTGTACCGATACCATTTCGATAATGTTGAGCAAGGCTATTCATTGCTGCTTTGCTGCCAATATTGGCAGCCTTTTTATAGTATTCAAATGCTTTATTATAATCTTGTTCAACCCCTCTTCCATTATCATAACGAAAGCCGACGTTACACATTGCAAAAGAATTATCTAAATCTGCGGATTTCTTACAATATTTAAATGACTTCTGGTAATTTATTTCAATTCCAATTCCATAATAATAGCAAAGGCTAACATCGTTCATTGCATCCGAATTTCCTAACTCAGCTGCTTTCATATAATATTCAAAAGCTTTTTTTTCATCTTTCTTAACAACAATTCCGTGTTGATAGCAGTAACCAAGATAATTAAGTTTTTTAGAGTCCATTTTTTTTTTATTTAAGAAAAAAAATTACATTACAAATAGCAGAGTGTAACCGGTGCTGCTCAATTCTGTGTTGATAGCAGTAACCAAGATAACTAAGTTTTTTAGAGTCCTTTTTTTTTTATTTAAGAAAAAAAATCACATTCCAAATACATCACAAGGTCATTTTTATGTAGAGTTACGTAGAATTTTTATGTAGAGTTATGTAAATTTTTTACGTAGCTTTATAAGCCCTATGTACTATTTATATAAATCTATATATATATCTATGTGTAGAATTATGTAAAATTTCAAAAAAATTTCAACCTAAATATTAAAGCTAGAAATAGATTTTAAAGCTTAAACTAAGGGTTTGGGGAGTGTTTTCTGGCCTGCTGAACATTTTTACTTAGTATATCGAACACTGATTACCTTAGTCATTTTTGAGAAATAGCCGAAGTAAATTAATTCATTTTTATGTAGATATAAATAGAATTTATATAATTTTTATATTTGTATAAATAAATAATACATAAAATTTTTATAAATATTATAAGTCATACATAAAAATTACAACTATGTAAGTCTA